CTGTTATGTCTCTGGGTCCTATGCGTGCCTAGCGGGGTATTTGGTCTATTTTTGCCGGCTAGGTGTTCTTTCATGCGGGAAAAAAAAAAAAAAAAAAAAAAGCCAATGTATTCGTCACCACACGTCTTACAGGAGATCAGATAAACTATACCCGAGCTCATGCAATCACCGTCTCTACCACTGGGGCAAATTATGCGATTTTGAGTTGCACATAGACGGTCATATCCTCGCACGCGAATCAAGAACACAGGCGCGAAAAACTCTCGAGGCACTCTGGATTAATTCCAGAAATCCGAAAATGAATCGCAGGGAAGAATGCCTCATTATTACGCGTGATATAGGNTCCCCGTTATGTCTCTGGGTCCTATGCGTGCCTAGCGGGGTATTTGGTCTATTTTTGCCGGCTAGGTGTTCTTTCATGCGGGCACAGAGGGGTCTACCCGTTTTGCCAATGTATTCGTCACCACACGTCTTACAGGAGATCAGATAAACTATACCCGAGCTCATGCAATCACCGTCTCTACCACTGGGGCAAATTATGCGATTTTGAGTTGCACATAGACGGTCATATCCTCGCACGCGAATCAAGAACACAGGCGCGAAAAACTCTCGAGGCACTCTGGATTAATTCCAGAAATCCGAAAATGAATCGCAGGGAAGAATGCCTCATTATTACGCGTGATATAGGGCAGTATATAAAACTGCTTTTCTGATATGAGGGGCACATTGTACTTCCATGTGATTTCTGTGCGGTTGGTCTCTACGTGACATACTGAGTGGAAACCTCATAGGAAGCGGTGAGTGTGCAAAGCTGTGTTCAAAGTGATTGAAATCTTGGTTTGGAGTTTCTTTGTTTGGTTATGGAGGCGTCTGGCCAAGTAGATTGCTATCAACTTGACCTTTCCAGGCTCTGAAGAAGGCGAAATTCGCCGAAACGTCAGCTTAATCGTGAACAAAGAATAATAACACCTCGCGTTTGCTCAACAAAAATACGAAGAAACATTTCCGTTTTCCAGTTGTCTTAATTTAGTATGCCCTGGTGAAAAATAAGTAGATGAAATGTGTATAAAGAGGAACATTAAGGATTAAGAAGGACGAAATGAAAGTCCGCAACAGTTGCATTGATTCATACCATCTGATGTATCCGTTTAGATGTGGTGGCGTTTGAAATGTCCCCAGGTTGCTCGACCAGAATCCAACAAACGCTGTAGTACGGTGTGATGTACTTTTGTCTTTCTTCGAATACCTGTCAACGAAATACTACGAATTTCTTTAATGAAGAGTTTGAGGTGTAGATTCGGAAAATAATTCTGAAGAGGTGAACAAACTTTGAAAATCCTTGAGTCTTCAAGGAACAACCTATCCGGACTGAGTTCAGGTTTCATATTCAAGGTTCCGATGATGCAAACGTACCTGAACATCGAAATAAATTATTGTGCAGTAACCTTGACCATTACTAGCTTGCACATACCAGTAAACCACTAAACTAGCTAAAATTGCCGACGAGACGAATTTGTTGAGTATCAGACGGCAGTAGATATCCAGAATCCTAAATTTCAATTCGCTTTTGATATGCATTTTATCGTTTTGGAAAACTTCCTGACTGTTAAATGTTCGGATGGTAAGGATTTTACACTTCTCTTTTTCGATAGACTTCGATTATTTGAATAACCTCGCTTCAGTATTTTGTTCGGAAATCAATGTCGGATTTGAAACTGCATCTTTAAAGTCACATATCGTCTCAGAATAAACCTTATTATTGGAAATAATGGCCATTAGAGTCTGCACATTTTTGCCAACGAAAAAGAACTTCATTTATACTGGTTGCTTAAAATTCTAAACCTCTTATTGGTTTGAGAAGCATTTCTCACACAGGAAGTTATTGAAATACATGAAGAAGTGGTAGTCGGTATGCGAGAAGTCTGGCAAGTATGGTGGATGAAGTAGACTTTGGCAGTCGAACTCCTTCAGCTTCTGCAGCAACGCAAGTGCCAGTCGGGTCGTTCTAGTTGCGCAGAAGCGCCGACAAAACCTCGACACAAAACTGCGGCTTTGACTGTGTTTCACTACGTGAGACTTACATGTATGGAGCCTCTTCGACATTCTGGCTTTTTTTCAGGGCTACAAAACGGCTGAGGTGCTTATAACGAGTTCTTCTTCAAGTTCTCGAATAGCTGTACATGTATTTTCTTCTACCAAAACCTTTAGTTAGTAGCTACCAATAGATAAAGGACGTATGTGAGTTTCCTCAACATTTGGGTCGATACAACGATGAAATTTTTCAGGCCAACGCATTGTAGGTTTGCTAACACTTTCTCGTCTTCGCGCCTCAATAGTGTTTCTAGCTGTTTTCGCAGCATAACGGCTATTTGAGTTCGTTGAAGTAAATCTCTCAAAATTGCTGTTTTGATTTCTGAAAATCTAACCCGTAAAATTTCACCAAAAGACACTTTATATTACAATTCTATTATACGGAGAGACGAGTGTGGTTGGAGGCGCACTGCAGCACACACATGGGATCGATCCCAGCTCCAATGGTCAACCAAGCCTTCCATCCCACCGGGGTCGGCAAATTGGTACCAGACTTATCTGGGAGGATACCAGCACTGGCTCGATACATCGGTAGGCCAACGCGAGTCATTGTAAAGGGCAGAAATGCATTTAATCACCTTCAAATGATGGTCAATGAAGTCGAGTGCATGGCGCATCGCTCAGGGTTTGAGTATAAGGAGCAAAGATGTATAAAATGAGGTTCGCAATATTTAAGTACAATAGCACACAGTATTTGAAAGAAACCGATTGCTAAAATATACACAAGACAAATGAAATTATAAATTCAACATTGATTTCTTAAAAGACTAATAGTTCATATTTCTTGTATAGGATATCATCTATTACTTTAATCCCAGTAAGAGGAGTAAGGAAGGAGAAGTATAGCCTAACCTTGATCCTATTGAAGAATTTTTTTCGCATCTGGACGACTTCTGTTCTGGAACTTTTTGAAGATCAAGGCATTTGCTGTCAAACTCTCTCCGAATCTCGTATCGTCCCACTATCACCATTAGTGAAGCATAGATACTCAGCTGGAAACTTTATGATGATTCTTCCTTGAAGAAAAGCAATTATACGCCTAACGTAACGACTAAGGTAGAGTCCAGTATAAGTAATTGTTCAAGGATGAGATCAAGATGAAATGCATGGTTCACGCTTCGGAGTTTTTCTGTGGTGATGTAGATCACTTTTGAAAGCATTACGTCTTCCCGGTCTAGTTATTCTGACTACTTCAGTTGATGGCAATTTCTGAGTAGCAATGGAGCAACGTTTGCTACGAGGTCGACAGAGAGATGATGAGACCAAAATACGAATAAGATTGTCTATCAAGAAAGGAACTGTGTTTGTTCAAAACAAAATTGAATAAGTCCCATTTTTTGAAACACGCAGTGAGGCAATACTAGTTAATAAATATTTTGGAGCTCGAACTACTAGTAAAAGAGCACTGGGGCAGATTTTGGCCAGGCTGTCCTCAGGACTCCAGGGAAGCAGAGTGGCTAAACCAGCAGATCTCCGGGAAGTGGAAATCGTGCTGGGGCCTGCACAACCAGTGAAGACGGCGCATCGAAGAATCTAAAGTAGAGGAGCATATTCGGTCAGTTCGACTGGCTCGTCGTTCTTGAGAGGTCGGTCGTCTAATCGCTGAATTGCTTCTGTTCGCTGTTATTTCGGATGAATCTTATTAGCTAGACAGCAATACTATGATCTACAAGGCCCTGTGCTAAAGCTTTAGAAACACCTTAGTATGAGTACTCTAGAGAGCTTGTAAAAGCCATGCTCAACGTGTAAATAAGGAGAGAAAGGATAAATTGCCTAAGTAGCACAACCACGGTGATGCTGAGATATAAACAAAACTCAGAGTCTCAGTTGGGCTTCGAATCCACTATCAAGAAGTGAAAGGGTAATAAGAGATAAGCAACAAAGGTGAGGGCAATCACGAGCTCAGAACCCAGGTGAGGTTCCGAGTTCTGCTCATATCTCAATCCTTCTATGACAATAGAATAGACATTAAGTAGAAGTTAAGACATTGCGGTTATCTGAGTAACTTTTTACAGTACCACTGCTAATAATAAACTTGTCAGTTGCAATTAAAGATCAGAGTTTTCCACTAGGCCATTCCGCTTCAAGACTGCATTTGTTTCGTTTTTTTGCATTTGCAAGAGTTTCGTCTTCAGCAGTTCCATAAAGTTCATTCTTAGGAAATGTTTGCCATCGAATACTAGAAGCATGGAACGGCCTTCATAGATTCTGAAGTTCCTCTTCCATTCGTAGAAACCCCAATACTATGCAAATTTAAGATGTTAATCTACTATGGAAATGTTTAATGTGTATACAATTGCCGGAAATATCAAGGAAAACACTTGAGAATCTCCTGAGAACTTCACAGAATGTTTCGATAGCGTCACAGTTTCAAGGATCAAGAGTGATATAATGGGAAATCCGGTTCCAATAAAGAACATTTCCAAAAATAGCCGATAGTGAGTAAACTTGCGCCATTTGTTATGAGTTCTCTAACCACTTGAAAACTATGTATACGCTACCGTAATTTCGCTCCAAAACAACACACTTGAAAGGAACATCACATGGATTTTGTTCATTCTATTGAAGCCGTATGATTCACCTGAAAAATGAAGTCTACCACAATAGCGAACGCATTGCCGATGCTGAACAGCCGTATTTCTGGTGTCGGAGTCAATGCACCGATACTGAACGCGAGAAAATTTGTGATAGTGGTGATCGACACCTACAAATAACGGTTGTTCGGAAAGATTAAACTACCACGAACATTTTCTAGATGGAATATAACAAAAGAAATTTTTGAAAAATGAAGGAAGCCTTACAGATGGTCCAGTTTGAACGAGCATTTCGACAATTCTTCCACGAACTTCCAAATCCACGTTATCGAACGGAATTTTCCTACAGTTTTTAACCTTTATAAAATTAATAGAAACACGAAAATGAATCCTTAAGTGCTGATAATGAAAATTTTGACGATATTCCTTGATAAGCTAGGAAATTGGTTAGAAGTTGCAAACGAAGGGTGAAAAATTTGGTTCGATGGAATCTGGGGATTTTGTTGGGAACGATTGAATTCTCTCTAGTTACAAATAGCCAAAATCATGCTGAATTTAGATTTCCTCATCAACTATCTTGTTTATTTAATAGAGAATAAGCAGCTGAATTGTGTCAGTGCAGTGTTGTCGATGCCAAAGGAAAAGTCACGAATTTTCTGAAGACTGAGGTATGTTATCGTTTTTCACATAAATGAATTACGATTGTGAAACCCTTGGTTGACTTCTTCTACTGACTAACCTCCGTCTAGAGGTGATTCTTTGCCAGGCGTTCATCATCAGATAGGCGTCGTCTACGCCGATGGCCAGCACAAGAAACGGAGTCACGCACATGGTTGAGCCGAAGCGGAATCCAGCCCAGAATAAAGCACCCAAGGCAGCACCACACGCCATGAACGGGCAGACGCACGCCATTACTGCCAGCGTGACCTTAACCGATTCCAGATATTTTTAAATTAGTTAAATCGGGATGTTTGGTATCTACAAAGCTTCTAATTCTTAATGCTTTCACAACCAAGCGCTTTCATTTTATTATGTACGCTGCTGTAGGTTTCGGACCAAGCATGGTATGCATTCATATCGCAATTGCGTTCCAATGACACGTGGTCCGACTAGCACGACACACGAGAATGGCAGAGGTCGTAAAAAGGTTAAAATAATAAGATCTTGCAAGAAACATTCAGCTACTCAGATTGGTGTCCTTGATAGTTTCGAGTAATCAATAGAAAAATCGATGACTGATCGATCACTAACTTTATGGATGTTCATCTGATTCAGAACTAGTCCACTAATCGAGAATGTGATAGCCGAAAAAGTGACCATTATGGTGAATCCAACAGCGAGAAAGGGCACTAGAGACAGTCCGGCTCTCACTAAAAACACAACATATTTTAGTGATTTCATGCATACATCTCTCCTTTCGTACATCTTACCGATTTCAGAGGTGATATAGGAATCAGTGAGAATATCCACAATGATTACATCGCTTTTAAACTTCCTGAAAAGTCTACAATTATACTACTCCTGTTCAACTTCTAGAAAGAATATCTGCTTGGAAAACGTTATTTTGGCAAGACATTGTGAATAATGCCTCCCAACGGTTTACCGTCTCATCGTGGCTGGGAGGTGTACCTGGGTGTGTGGCTGCGATGTACAGCGAGAGATTCATCCCGCTGGCAGGGTCTCCCAAGCTGAGAAGGAGTCCGGCGTTTCCATCAGGAAGCCTAGCTAAGAGTAAACCAATACCAGGACCCACCACCGTCTTGGTATTAAAGTTGCATGGTGGCAAATCTCCCTCTGATCCACAACGGCAGCAACTGCCTGTGTGTGATAGCCGAAAAAGTGACCATTATGGTGGTGAAGACCTGGGGCAGACCTTGGCCAGGTTGTCCTCGGGATTCCAGAGAACCACAATGGCTTAACTAGCAAATCTCCGAAAAATGGAGGTTGTGCCGGGGCCGCACAACCAGTGAGGACGGCCCATTCAAGTATCAAGCAAGTAAGTATTATGAATAATGGCTGAATAAATCGGCAGTCTGACTACTTCTAGATATCGCCCGGCTTCTTCCCTCGCCTCATTTCACGTCTCATCTCCATTATGCAAAAAGAGATAGCTCTTTATGTACTGCGAAAGAGGTAAGCAGATTTTGCCCTAATATGACAAACTATTCAACCGTTCCCGATCAAAAATCACTCGAACAGAGAGCACATTGAAAAGAAGTGCATTTCCAGAGACTAACTAAGAGTGGTGCAGTAATGCAAAGACAATGTGACGAAAAGACACAATGAAGAATGTGACACGAAGAAACCATTGAAAGATAGGGACGAATTTCCTACGAACTTCTGGAAGTGCTGGACGATCGAATGCTCATAGGCATCGAAGTCTCCACGCGCGATGTTGGATCCGATCTCCAGGCGGAATTGCAGTACAATCAGCGCCACTTCGCGAATGTTATTCGGCAGCTGAGTCTGAAAACGACTTTTTCTTTTCAATTGGCAGCGTAGTGGAAAAAATTATCAAGAACAGTTAATTCTCTTTCGGAACGAAATCAGCCGTCTGGATAGCACATGCACATGAGCAAGCGACAATCACTATTGTACTGGTATGCCCTATTTCATTGTGACTAACTGCACCAGAAGACTTCAGCTTCAACAGCATTGTTGTGTGCCATTTATAACACAGTATTGAGATGAAACCTACTAATAAACAGGAGAACCAAAGAGGAAAATCTAACGTATTTTTCTAATATTTTAAAATTCTGACCATAGCCTGATAAAAAACGAGGTCCTGCTTCGAATGTTGGTCTGTTTTGATAACCTTATAGTCCTTAACTTACCAGTACTTCTATGTTAATAGGAGGGGATTAAGAGGAAAAGTACCATTACGTCCATCCTCTGTACCACTTAAAAGATCAAAGATAAAGCGTCCGGCATTGCTTAATCACTGAGGGATCTCTTATCTATTCGATTTCATCAATAATCATAGAGGTGATTGTTTGCATACCTGGCCTATCCAGTGAGTTTTGGGGCCTACGAATCTATCAAATCAGTGTTTTCACCCTTCCAAAGTAGTCAGGCGCCAATCGCGAGGAGACGAAAGGTTCACTGAGCCCAGGATGCCGAACCAGTAAACAGCGCACCACATGAGATTTAACGCAAACATGAAAATGCTGTTAAACACTAATCTAAAGAGACTAATCTAACTGATTTGATTTAGTTTTTAGACTGAAATCTAGGAAATAAAACCACTGTGTTTAAAGATGCCTCGATCGATGGTATTTGAGAGGTCGGTAGTGGTTAGACAACTCGTTGACATCGCCACCGTGATAGAGGTAACGAAATGTGCCTGTTCAGGTGGTGGCAGCCGACTATATTCTAGTAGTTATAATTATTTCCCTCGCATGCTTATTCCTTTGAGCGCATACGGCGCACTGGATAGAGGTTCACTCCAATTCACACCCAGTTCTCGATCACGCGTCCCAGGCTTACGAATTCATAAAATCTCTTTAAAAATTAGTACCAGACTTATCCGGCAAGATAGTAGCACTAGCTGGATATATCGGTAGACCACCGCAAGACGTTGTGTATTCCAGATATGCATTCAATCACCTCTAACGATACTTAGTGGAAACGAATGCACCGCGCATCTCTACTAGATTGATCAACATAGGGACCTTTATACTCATTTTTTGTTTACGATTGCTCTACCCCATACTATCAAAAGATTAAGACCAAATCAACAACTACGGTGAAACAGCCAGTTGGTTCCTCCACCAGAAAGCATGTGTTGTAAAATCCCGTGCTGGTTTTAACGCTTGAAATCAAGTTTCTTGATTGGGCACGTTTTTCGAAAATGAAAGAGGTCAGCACGTGATAATTGAATATCGGATGCTCGTTTTAGTTTCTAAAAACGAAGAACTTGCTCGATTAAGTTATTTCTGTTGTATTGTAAATTGCGTTTCTCTTACACGCAAACGCACATGTGGCATAGTGGTCGGAGGCGCCCTACAACACACGTGGAATTGATCCCCGCGCCCATGGCTCACCAAGCCTTCCATCCCGCCGGTATCTGCAAATTTGTACCAGATTTGTCTGGGAGGATAGCAGCACTGGCTCGATGCATCGGTAGGCAACAGCCAGTCATTCTAAAGGCTGGTATGCATTCAATCACCTCCAAACGGTGCTTAATGAAGACGAGTGCATGGCGTATCTCTCAGGGACTGATCAACGACGAGAGTTCTATCTATCCTTTTTATCCTTTTTACACACGCAAATACCTAGCCAAATAAACGATATAGCTGTAAATGACCTATACCTCTAACGTGTTTTTTCGTTTGATATCAGCAGTGGAGATGACGAGCTCTTGCCCACGGTCGTCCTTCACAGCTACTTTCACTCCGAACAGATTCGGATCCATGTGAAGTTTCGTTCCGAGCACTGTTGTGATCGGATAGCCCAAATCCAGATGCCGACTTTTGTTCGTGTATTTGTCGGAGATTAGCATGCCACTCTAAAATCGTCTCACCTTCCAGAAACCACATTGTAACTCAATGAAATTTTTTCGAGGTTTTATTTTGCAAAGTTCCGCCCAGCTTTCTGTCAGGATCGATCGCGATTAAAAATAAAAGTGGAAGAGAGCTACTAAAAAACCTCAAAAAATATTGAGGACGTACGTAAAAGTGCCGAATCGGCTCATTGATAGTGCAGAATCCTTCACACAGTTGCTCGAAATTCTTGTTCCCGCTTGGCGTTCGCATATAGAAATCGTGTGAGATTTTGTCGAGTACCTATAGACTATAGATCACTTATGTTATCTTTTCCTTAAGGAATTGTCCAAAATTATTCTTCCCAAGATTCCTTATTATTTACTCTACAAGTGAGACGGAATTTTACAAGTGTGCTTAACCGCTAATACTCAATTTAGTAAAGAAAGAAATAAAATGTTTCTAGAAAGAGCATAAAATTGCATGACAATATTAACGAATAAGGAAAAAAAAGGAAAGCTATTCATACGCTTGTTTAACGTTACCTTACTGAAGATTCATATTCTGAATGGATGAAATCTTGGAGGATAAAAATAAGGATAAAGCTGTCGGGGTTGATCCCTCCTTGAGGGATGCGCCATGCATTCGACTTCATTAATCATCTTTTGGAGATGATTGAATGCATTTCTAGCCTTTACAATGACTCGCAGTAGCCTACTGGTATATCGAGCCAGTGATGTTATCCTTCCAGACAAGTCTGGGACCAATTAGCCAACTCCGGAGGGATGGAAGGCTTGGTGGGCCATGGGCTCGGGGATCGATTCGACATGCGTGTTGCAGGACGCCTATGAACACTGCACCACACGCGCACTTATTCTGCAGATCTGTGGTAATGTTGGCTCGTCTCCAAGAAGCTATGCTACCGCCGATCATTTGATTTTCAAGTCCATAGTGTATCGGATATGGTGCCCAATAGATTTAGCCATCGTCATTGGGTCCCCTAAATGATGGCTATTTATTTTAAATCTGCGGAAGAATATCGATTCATAGTCACTGGATCATTAAACAAGTGGCAACGATGTATTGCCAGTTTTCCGTCCGCAGTTCTTCACCAGTTTGTTAGGAAAAAGGTCGAAGTTATGAGAATCTTCGCCTTTCACCCAGCTATTCATGCGCAGTTGGTTTTCTATCTGTCAACCTCAATCGTGTCCTAGGCGGAGCTTCGTTCTCTCCGCGAAGCCTGGTTTTCTTCGAGCACTGAAACAAATTATCCTCTATTCCTCATCTACCACAGAAAGCTGTTCGAATAGTAGTGAACATGTTCGACTCTTCCATTCGCACGAAAATGAATACTTCGTATAATAGGTGGAGTTCGCGATACGAAAACCATCTAGGGTTTTTGCCAACTCGACAACAAATGGGAGCGATACGTCTACACACCGGGATGTTAATAAAAAAGTATGAAGTTCTCGGCGTTGGTCAATCTCTAAAGGATGCGCCATGCATTTGACTTCATTAAGCATCGTTGGAAGTGATTGAATGCATATCTGGCTTTTAGAATGACTCACTGTAGTTTACCGATGTATGGAGTCAGTGCTGCTATCCTCCCAAACAAGTCTGGTACCAATTTGCCGACCCCGGAGGGATGCAAGGCATAGCGAGCCGCGGGCGCGGTGGATCACTGCGTCACACGCGCCCCTATTGGGATGTTATAGGTATCAGTATAAAAATTTTAAGTAAAATTCCAAAAAAAAAAACCAGGCACAATAAACTTCGTTGTTTTTAATTTTCTCATTTTTACGTTTTTGGATTAGAAAACCGAGAGAAAAGCGTTTCAACAGGGTCGTCGTCATCGTGTTCAAAGTCGCACTGATTCGTGTAGAGGGTCTAGAGGGTCCCCGTCAGTTATTTTTAGCGAAATCATGGTCTTCGGATTCACTTGGAATCCAGTTTAATGGAATAGGACAGCGAACGAATACAGTGAAGAACGTCTCGATTCGAATCAGTGCGACTCTGAAGATAGCGATGATCACGCTGGAACATCCATCAGCCCCTACGAGGAGTTATCAACCTCGTATAAAGTTATCAATAAATCGATGTATTGATCATTTCCACTCATGCTGTGCTTAAGTAAAAATCGATCCTTAAGAATCAACTTTTTCAAAGATTCCTTTTGAGTCACTAAAAATCGTTAACACGCAATACCTGCACAGTGTGGTTGAAATGAGATGTGTTTAGCAGATTTCCTCCGTGTTTCGGATAAATGAAAGCATAAATCGCCTTCGGTTCTCCTCGGTTCAAAAAGAATTCACAGTAAATCTGAATGCTTCTGCATTATCACTGCAGAACAACAAAGTGAAATAAGCTATACCAACCTTGTGTAAGCTTATCAAAGAAGGAATAGTGAGTGGAATATTTTTAAATGCTTCAAATGGCATAAAGAGTGTTAAAGTGGACCCTTTGGCAACATTATAATTTGTGGCGAACGCGCAGCTTTAACTTTACCACGTATACATCCATTTAACCAAAAATGAGTTTGACTCGGGTGTGCCTTATTTCACTGATATGCGCGAAAAGAGAGAATCGTCGAAACGTTAGCCGAATATATGTTTGCCAGCAGCCTCGTGTTAACCCCTATCAGTGAAATAAGGTGCATTGATCACTCAAATCGAGGTTCAATGAAAGACGGTTTACAATAATGACTTCGATACGTTTGTTTTATAGTTTCTGACTGGTTGATTAACATAAAATCTAGTCTAGTCGCAGGCAAGTCCAATTCGATAGGAAAATCCGGAAGTGGAATGCGTCGTGGACCAGTCGGATCTTCCCGACGTTCATCACTTGTTTTTCGTTAACCGCGTCAGACAGTGGCCACGATAGGCCTAGGTGATCCAGTGGCGCGGATTAAGCTGTTTCCAACGGAAAGCGACGAGATGCCATCGGATAAGGCAAGAAAAATGGAGTCGACCAGATGACGATCGGCTTTCTGTGCTTGTTGTTGACCGCCAATAATCACCAGAATGAATGTCGATCTCATCTTCTCGACGTGAACTACGAGATAAGAGAAGGATCACCTTACTTTTTTTCTACGTTAGAACATAATTAGTGCAATACGGTCTTGCGCTGACAAGACAAGTCAATCGTTTGACCCATCAACCTCACTCAAGAAACTATTAAAATTTTACTAATTATTTTATCTTCTCCACACCCATTGTTATAAAAATGTTTTTTTTCCGAGTTTCAAAAGCATTATGGACGATTTGTTAACAGAATATTGGCGTCAGACAAAACAGTAATCTTAATTCCATCAGCTGCAATTCCTATGTGTACTACTTGTAGTGCCTAAGGCACTTGTACGATTCGCTAAGATGTTCAGTTCTATTTTTCCTTTAATTTTTTCTATAATTCATGTCGATCGACCAACCACGAATCTTCTTCATGGCGGAACCTTGCCGTTGGTTTAAGTGATGCACTCACAGGTGTTGTAAAGGGGTTTAGCTCGGACAAGCTGAAGCGGTTATGCATCGTACTTTCCCTAAGACCTAAGTAAATTCAGATGACATTTAGAACGCCTTTCCTGGCTTTAAAATAAGCTCTTCTCTTGCGAATAAAGGATAAAGGATAAATCTCTCGGCGCTGATCAATCCCTGAGGGATGCGCCATGCATTCGACTTCATCAGGCATCGTTTGGAGGTGATTGAATGCATACCTGAGCTTTATAATGACTCGCGGTGGCCTACCGATATATCGAGCCAGTGCTATCCTCCCAGACAACTCTGGTACCAATTTTCCGACTCTATGGGAATGGAGGGCTTGGTGGGCCATGGGCGCGGAGATCGATTCTACGTGTGTGTTGCAGGGCGGCTCCGACCACTGCGCCACCCTCTCCTCCCCATGCGAATACAAAAAGAAAATAAAGGAAGCACTTTTTCAAATATCGACTGCTTCTCTGAAATAACGACTAAACCGCAGCATGCATCACTAAACGTTCCATTACGTCATCTTTGAAAAAGACAATGATGAAAACTGGATTTTCGTCGTCAGGACAAGTTTCGGTGTTACAAAGACGACTTCATGAAAAGTTATCCGCATTCATTTCATTCAGTCTAAAAATTTCTAAATATTTTCCGAACAAATCCTGTTGAAGATTGATGAAGCAAAAGAACCTTTTGTTCCTGTCTTGATCGGGCTCCATAGGGTGTGAAGTCACTGATGTTGTTCTCCATCTTTGTGAATGGAATCTTCAAACTTAGAACAAGTGTCGCTAAGCAGCTCAGGATAATGCATGACCAAGGAGCATAACTAAACATTTCTATCAAAACGAAAACAAATCTCCTAGCATAATCAGTCTCCATTTCTCAGACGCTACGAAGATCCGAAGAAACACATGAAATGAAAAGGCAACGAGTATGATTATGACCAAAGGCTTCACTGAGACGGTTTCAGTTCGATTCTTCGCAAATGACAACAATAATATTTCTAAAGTTGAATCAAAGATGATCGAACTTTGCTCACCTGACCACATAACCGACTCTTTCAAAAGTGAAGTTAATAAATCGGATAAAGCAGGTATCTTTAGCGGCATGTTTCCCCATAGCGACCATATTAGGAGATTCGCTGTGCAGTAGAAGACTTGACGGAAAAGAAATCAGTTCATGAAGAACGTCGCTCTGAACGTTTTCGAATCGAAGAACTCATTTTCGTTCGCTATTAACGTGACTGATGCGGACAAAACAAAGTGATAACTGGTAGAACCAGTGTAATTCCACAGTACACAGGAGCTCTTTTTTTTCTATGCTGTTGAGAGAATATGGAGTAGAAAATAACTAAATTACTCAAGCGATGGAAAGCTATATACCAAAAGTTCTACGTCTACTACGAAGCAATTAATCAGCAATATTACGTCAATGAGTGCACCACAAAAGCTAACCCCTTAGGGTGAAACTACCGCACTGTTGGGTGACGAAAATGCTTTGAAAACAGGGAGGGGGAGGGCTCGAAACTCATCAGGAGGAAAGGGAATGGAACGGAAGGGAATGGTGTGGAACGGAACAGGACGGAATATGTCGAGAACTTCCGTTGTAGAGGTTAAGGTGACGTGCCGGAATGAGTTCGTAAAGGACGTATGAATATTTCACGCATGTAATGAACAGGAATCGGGGAGGCGTTAGTCAGAAATGGAAATACCTGTTAAAATTTCTACATCCCGTACATTAATCATTTAAGAACAAAGTATTGAAAATATCTTACTATGTTAGAAAAAACCGACCATGTGAGAAATCTCTTAGTGTAGGTAAATCAGTGGTACAGTATTCAGAACACTACACTTTACTTCTTGAATTGTGCGCTTGGTTCAATGTTCTTAGGGCTTTAAAAGCCTTAACAAACATTGCTATGTTCTTAGATCTTTAAAACGGTGGCAGATGAAAACGGTTTCAATGAGAAATAATATCGAAATTCAAATGCCTAAACGGCATTCATGAAATCATTTTGACTTTCGCGAAACTGATGAAGCTGCACAGAATAAGTGATTTCGACCAAGAAAATCGAGGTCTACGACTTGAGAACACGTTCCAGACATGGTCGTAAAAAGTTCAAAAGAAGAAAAAAACAAAAGGCACATGGTCAACGCAATGTGCACGCTGTACTCTTCGATGATAGAGCAGTGAAAGCTGAGCGCTTCGGTTAACTCGCATCTAATCATGCCTAGCTGATCTATCACATGGTCCATCGTTGTTCAGGAAAGAATATCAGCCCGTGCGAACATCGAAACTGGTGTGAACGGCTGTAATAAGTGAGAACCGACGACGCACAGTATTGTCTTGTAAAGACATTTGATGAACGACTGGTTGATATTCGCAGTGCCTAGTTGAGTGTGATTCGACAAAATGTAGTAAGCATACTCGCCATATTTGTCCACTCTTTTCTGTTTTATTTTTCGTTCTTCCTCTTTTACAAATTGCGCCTGTTTATTAGCAGACTTTATAGTCATTTGGTAAATGAAAAACAGTTTCTTCAAAATAATTACTAATTTTCCTCTCCGATCCAGTCAGCTGATATCTGTCACCCGTAGGCCCTTTGATGGTCCATTGAGTCGAGTGAGTGCCAGTAAACCAATAAGTGCCAATAAAGTGCCAAGTGTGAAAGTGCCAATAAGTGAAAAAATAAACCAATAAGTGCCAATACCAAGTGCCAATACACCTGCCATTTCTCCATGTCGCGTGCAAGAGTACTCAGTGGTTCTGCTCGTTCATGAGACTCGCTGAGCATCATATCTTTCTTTTAGGGCTTTCGTGAAGAACTCTAACCATCAAATTGGTGCTCTTCCCGCCGTGCTTTTCACATCTCCGGGAATCCAGTAGACGTCGTTCATCGGTTTTCATTCGTACGTACTATGCGCCCTACCTAAGTTACCTTCGCGCAATTTGGCGTTAGACGAGTGGCATCCTTGATTTTTGATCGTCGACGTAGGTGGGAGCATCGGATCCCTTCTTTCACTTTCGTGAAATGGGATATTCTTAGCATCTTCCTTTCGACAGCGCATTTAATAACGATCCAGTGTAAACATAAAAGATTAACTGCATTCAGAGAGGAACCTTGTAATAACTTTAGTTCGAGGCTAAGAGCTGCTGGACAAACCGACTTTGCATAAATGTGGCTTATTCTCGCAAATATAGTAACCTGTTCTGAAGAAATACACACTTCTTACGAGAAGAAACACTACTCTGCAAGGAAAATGAACAGTATAGAGCGTGGGATATGGAACCTAAAGGAACAAAAGGCTGATTAGAAAAAATGTTGACAGCAACACAAGTGGGACACGACGCACTTTGGATGACAACATGCTTTTTTCGATTACCCCTTCTTTTCGTTCGGCAAAAAGTTAAGTGCACTCAGATGCACTCAAACAAAGTTAGTTGACCGCCACCCGTTCTCGTGTGTGTAATACAAGACTAATAAAGACAGAGACGACCTCTATTTTCAGCAACCGAAGGTCGGCAACCGTTCGGGAGAACTGAGCCGGAACTCCACTACTCATGAATTAAACTCAATGCCACCTGTATTGTGCATAATTCCGTAGATAAAAGGATGAATATTACCCCTGGGTGTTTTCGAAGATATTCATTCCACATACTTTAGAGTTGAAGAGTACATAACATTTTTTTACATACACTGCAAAACACGATCTAGTGTACTTCATGTCCGGCTGACTGCTGCAATTTAAGAGTCAATGTATTGCAAGCTCTCTTCTCGATCATCTTTTCGTCCAATGCCAATATTTTCAAGTGTTTCAAGTTTCAGGTGTTCTAGCCATTCCTTATTTCAGATATGTTCTACAAAAAATGTCTATCGCTAGCAATTTGTTTCGTCAAAATGCAGAGCAAGGAAAAAACACATTTTCAAAGGATTTCTTCTCATCAACACATCACACGTATAGCCATCACATTGGTAAAATCTTTTTATCGACTTCGTGTTAGCATAATAATCCAAGAAGATACTGATTATTTATCCTAAGGTTAAAGGGCGATCGGTTTGAAAAACATCATAGGAGGTTTTAGCATGAAGTCGGTATGAAAGTTTTAAAGCGACAATGGACAAATACAAAAAAACAATAAATGAAGGATAAAAAATAAGGTTAAAGCTCTCGGCGTTGATCAATCCCTGAGAGATACGCCATGTATTCGACTTCATTAAGTATCGTTGGAGGTGACTGAATGCATATCTGACCTTTACAATGACTCGCGGTGGCCTACCGATGTGCAGACAAGTCTCGCACCGATTTCCCGACTCCTGAGGGATGAAAGGCTTGGTGGGCCATGGGCGCGAGGATCGATTCCACGTGTGTGTCACAGTAGCGCCTCCAACCACTACGCCACAAGCGCTCCAAAAGTGAAGGATGCCGTGAAAAAATCCAGAAATTTACATGGATGTATGGATTCACAGCTTTAGAGATTTGCTACAAACACACGACGATGGAAATCTATAAAGGTCTGCAGATGAAAAAGTACAGGAGAAACTTTCTGTAAAGAGCGAAATTCCACGAAAATTTAACTATAGCAGTTAACTAAATCTATCTCTGCCAAGTCGAATGCAAATCATTCTTTGTGTCCGAATAATGAGTGCTGGAGGAGTCTAACAAAAGACGTCTGACGAAGGAAAATGAAACCACGACGTGAGAACGGCGTTTATTTGTCACACAAGGATGGTTGTAACGGCTAAACGCGATGAATCGGCATCAATAGACTTTGTAACGTACGAAATCGGAGAGATGTCGAATATTGCGAACAGTCGAACGAAATCTCCGCCATTGAATTGCCTGCCGCGCTGATCACTTCGTCGTCCTGTTCGTCTTTCTGTTTGAAAAGCGCATGCCTTCTCCGAAGAGAACCTAATGACAACGGAATCAATAATGATCGCTCTCGAAAAACTGCGGTAGAAATCAGTTTGTTGTTGGATCAATCAAGTTCGACAGTTTCTCAACTGATATAAATCGCTCGGGTAAGTTTAAAAAAACCGCGCAACGTCCCTAGACGAAATCAAACAGTGTTATTTTCACCGTTAAACCACTCTATACATCACATCTTGTTACAATGTGAATATGCATCCCATCTCATAGCAAAGATTATGGATACGAACAAGAACTACTAACATGACAGATCATATTCCGAGCATGAATTCCTAACCAGTAATAAACTAGGAAGGGGTGGAAAGCACAGTGATAGTGATATCTGTCATCGCGACCATGATGCAAGCCCGATGCTGCGTCGGGCCAACCAAGCCGCTCATCCCTTCGGGGTCGGGAAATTCGTGCAGGAGTTGTCTGGGAAAAAATCACTTCCTGCAGTTCAACTGGTAATGCTCTAGCCCGGCTATCTGAGAACTCCAAGGGGAATTGCTCGACCAGCATTTTACTAGATTCAAGATGAAATGAAAGTCCTCAAGAAGACACCGAAGTCACACGTAAAAACTTGGAAGACCTTCGTGGATGATAGATGCGAGGAAACGAATCGAATGTGAGAAGTGCTAAAATCCGCACAGTAGACGTGAAGATGGACTAAATTTAATAAATAAAATAAAAATAAATAAACTGCGAAAAGTTAAGTACTGGAGTGAAGAAATAAAGTTCAAATACCGTGAAAATTCTACTGGTTTTGTTTAAGCATCTAATGAGGCGAATTTTGAAACTCAACGACTGCCATTATGTAGCGAATCATTTCTGTTGTGCAATCGAGAAGAAGACATCGGATCAAATGACTGGTTTCCTGTTGCAACTGTGACATCTTTTGTCACATAGGTACGCTACTGCATTAGGTGGCCGCTACGAAGTCACATGTTTAAGATTTGTTTGGCCCATTTATATTTCTTCTTATCCTTCTTAAATTGTTAAGGTAACACTAGACTATCATAGCAATTTTATCTCCGCATTCGTTGCTGCGAAGAAAAATCTACAGCCTCTTCTTTAAATCTGGATGTCATCATCGATTTATTAGCAGAAAACCAAATGATAAAGTGCTACGCTGCATTGATAATTTCAGAACAGTATCGATATGGGGTTATCAGGCAGTGAAAGTGACGAAGAAGATGACTGTGAACGGCAGGCGGTAGGGGATGCGGCAGCCGTGGTCTCACCCTTATTGGCCGGTTCGGCTCCTTTCACTACCGACACGAAACAAGATCTGGCTGTCGCTGGAAGAGCTAACGGCGCAGCCATTACTGCTAGTAAGGATTCACGTCTATCGAAACTATGCCACCCACATCATCGCAGATACCTGGGACAACTACCGATTCATTTGAATTCACTTTGGTTAACACAACTGTTCAAATAGGAGCATCAAAAAAGAACTTGAGAAAAACTAGAGGACACCTTGAAGACATCTAAGCTATCTGCATAGTGGCAGGAAGATTCGAAAACGCACCGGTATCGTGAGAAGTTCATGCCTCACACTATCCCCACAAGTGGTTTTCGGAATATACTCCGAACAGAATTTGCTGCGAAAGTGTTGAAAAGAACTTATGGGTTTAACCCAAAACGCTCAGACTAATTTTCTATAGGTTTTTCCCGAGCATTCTTTCCGTTTGACTAAGATGATGTGGTGCTTCTAAAAAAGTACTTCCGTCATTATTATGTTAACATGCCGCAATAAATATCATCAAAATTATGGCTAGAAATTTTGTACCGAGGCTGTTGGAAAATTTCAACCCTTCCAATTTTAATGTCGGAAAGGTTACGACATATATCTAGGTCCCAGAAAACTCATCGTCTTATTGTTCGATGGGCATGTGACGATTAAACCTTTAGTTACCAACAATCGAGTGAAACCGATTTACCTACAACGACCACGAACCGTCGTCTTCTTCGTCTACTTAGGAGATGGACAACACAGGAACGGCACAGGAAGAGCCCTTTACATCAATGACATGTTCAGAGAGAAAATTCTGTATACTGGGTCTACCGCCAATCGCTTCGTTGCTGCAAATACGAATATCGGCTACAAAATTCGTGGGACTCTGGAACAAAGAAATTTTTTGTGAACAGGCTCGAATTGCGTGTATAATATGAGGTGCATTCCAGCACACACCGGATCGACCTCTGGTTCGAACTCACGTCCTAGGCACGCCGTGCTTCCATCCCTCTGGAGTCAACAAATTGGTAAAAGGGAACGCTCTTACATAGGCCAAATTACCTCTAGCGTAGGTTCCTGAGATCGAATACATAGCGCGTCTCTTAGGGGTTGGAAAATGAAGCGAACAGTTTGTCCTTTATTCCTTTTTAAACATGCATCATTTGCTAAAAATGAGTGGTGTCTAATGGTTTTATTTTAAATAATAAAAAGCTATGAACTCAAGCACGTGCTAAATCAGAAGTTGCGGTTGTTTCCTCGGAAAACTGTTAGTTATAGAAAACGAAAACCTTCATCGTTTCAAAATCCTTAGCGTGAAATTCGATCAGAACTTGAAGGGAAAAACGTGAATTCGTCAAAAGAACAACAAACTGGCTATCGAATAACAGATGACGGTTGGAAATTTCCTTAGTTTTTTCTTGTAGGAAATATTTTCGATGTTTATCTTGTGTTAGTGTAGAATTTTCCATATGGATCTCGTCCTCATAGAATTAGCGTAGATTCCGTCATCTGTCGTGCGACGAGAGAGTCTTTGATTTTTAATCACTTCACATCATTCCTTCGGACCCGGGTCTCATTAAAATGGTGAGCTGTCGCTCAAAATGAGATTGCCACGTCTTCGGCCTATGGTGCTGTCCGAGTTCGTCTACTTCACTCGCGTATTCCCTTTGATCATACCGTTAATGCAGGCGAGAGCAGATCTCGTTGGTACCAATTTCTCAAGAAGGTTGTTGAACAGGTAGTCGTTCAGCAATCGCTGTAGACGATTATCATTTTGATGAAGTACACAACTCAAGTACAAGTACAACAAGTACGAGTACAACACAAGTACTACGCGTTAAGACTCAAACCAAGCTCTAATAAGGTGACGTGAAAAAATGTGAGAAAAAAGACGAAAAAGGAAACGATGATGAAAAAGGGGAAATATAATGACAGCTGGAAGAGTTGTTTCTGAGCTTTGACGTTTTCAAATTATTTGCATGGTTTTCAGCGGGTTTTAAACGTTCCACGCCGTGATTCAGTAACTAAATGAATAGTTCGTAGGAAGCTTGGTGGACGCCAGAGGGAGAAGAATGAGTTTAACAGGAACGTGTGTCGAATTTCTCTGTTCACATCACAATGCCGTTATTTCTTCTACCGTAATTTTGACAAAAGTTCATAATCGTTCATTCATCATATGCTGTTTGTCATGGAGAAACGAAAAAGCAGTTCATTGCAATTTAGTGAAAAAATGCCCACATGTCGGCATTTACCCGCAGTGATACTCAAAATGTGATAAGCATTAACCGATTTAGTCCAGGTCTTAATAGATTCTGTCACAAAATTTTTTATTTATTGCACACGGATTGTTTTTATCCTTAATTTTACCACCCTTTCTCGTCACATTCCGAGAAACACTTATGACTAACGTTCGATAGTTTTATCACTTCGTTAGACAGTCGGGCGGTTGTTACGACTGAAATTTTTCTCAAGCGTTTTTTAATTGATAAGCTTACATGACATTGTCATAAATGTCATCTGATCTGTTCTGATTCTGATCGAGGGAATGTTGAAGATGTCATAGACATATGATGAACATCACCAACTTCGCCAATCCCCACAGATGTTGTGGAAAGGCAATCCATAATCGTGTTGGGAAAAATAAACCATTCCCAGGATCGACTTTCTATTAACCTCGACATTGAATTATAAATGCGTCGTTTCTTTGTTCAGCAATCGCGACGTTGCTATACAGCTTACGTTTACTTCGAAACAAAAAGCATACAACACAACAGTGGCTGACGTTTCTTTCTGGGAGGATCGCCTTCTTCAGAGCCAGGAAGGGTGCACTGATAGGCAATTACCAGGCCAAATGCTTCAATAACACATGTAGTGAGACTAAAATCTATATGGCAATCGTATGATCAACAGATTCTCGAAAAACCCACCGGTTTTACCTACCTGCCACTGAGGAAGAACAGCAGCGCAGAGTCGCACATGATTGACCACTGCTCCACCCCACATCAAAAATCACTTCTGAGATAAGAGGCTAGATAACGTGTTATCTCAGGGCGTTCTTCCGTGCTATACATTCTGGGATTCTTCGCATTTATCCAAAAAGCCTCCAGAAGTTTGCGCATTGGCGTTTTGGGATGCTCTGTGAAAGCAGCGACTTTTATATGAAAATCGTCTCCGCTATGCTTTTGTATACTATGCGTGCCTAGTGGGGTACTTAGTTTTGCTTGTCGTTTGCCATTTAGCTGTTCTTTTATGAAGATGCATAAAGGTCTGCCCGTTTCGCCAATATATTCATCTCCGCATGTACTACAAGAAACCAGGTACATCGTACCCGAACTCGTGAAGGCTCTGAACAAGGCGATACTGCCTAAGCGTCAGCTACTGTTGTCTTGTGTGTGTTTTTGCATGGAAGTAAATGTATACTTGTATAATAGCCTCGCTACTGCTGAACAAGAAGACGACGATTTTGAAAATAAACCATATTTTCTGAATACTATTTTATAATGTTATACCTTTTCATTTTCTGCCTTCTATAATTTTCATGGCAGGTTACTAAGCGAAATACAACCACAACGTTGCTGAGATATTTGCAAAACTCTGGACCGCAGGTGTCTATGGTGGGGAACGAACGCGCTATTATCCTTTCCGGGGAGTAACGCGTTCACCACCACACCATGCGGGTCCTTCGTTTCGCCTGTCCCTCAGCTATTTACCTATTTTATACTATGCGTGCCTAGTGGGGTACTTAGTTTTGCTTGTCTCTGGCCACAAAAGGCTGATTTTAGCGCAGTGACGACATCATGCATTCATTTCAATGCGTTTGGAGCTACAAAACGACCTCCCTCACGCTTTTGTCGCCACATTTCAGCTCTTACTAGGACAGTATGATATCGACTGTTATCAATGAATAGATTTTATTCTAAACATTTAAACGTTAGAACAATGAGATTTTCACGACGGTTTCACCTGGGCTCAATGCCGAGTTGTGCTCACCGGATTATTCCCTTTGACGGGTAATTCCTGATGGTACCTTTAGAGTTAAAAAATGGCCCAGAGAGAAGGGATGAGGGCCTCAGTGGCGCAGTGCATAACACGAAGTGCCCGAAAAGTGTGATTGGGGTTCGATCCGGCATGAGGACGAAGTTTTGCAAATATCTCTGCATCATTATGGTTGTATTTCACATAACATCACGCCGTGAGAAAAAAGGACAGGCAGCAAATAAGAGTTAAAATATTGCAATTTTACTTCGCTTCCTTTTTATTCCACACGACCTGACATCGCATGTTGTACACTGCGTGGATCGTAGCACTTGCGGACGACGCCATTCGCGTCCGTTATCCACCAATAACTTCAGATTTTCTGTATGTGGGTTCTGCTATTGCTTCAGGACCATCTTTTTCGTCACGAATTTCATGGAATGCTGATGGAGTCGATTCCCTCTTCAGCATTGCTATAGCGGTGCTAGAGCATTCCAGGTATATTACAGGGAGTGAGCTGATCTCAGACAAGTCTGGTAGCAATTCCTGATATAGGAAGGGTGAAAGCCTTGGTGGTATCAAAAAGCTGTCGAGCGAGACCATTTTTATAATAAACGGCATCACTACCACTGCACTACCCCACCTCTAATGAACGAATATGAATATGGTATGATTAAATGAAAAGCCATAAAATCTTAAGATCGTTGCCAATTAGATGCCAATATTTATATTATAACAAGATGTGACTGTAGTTTACTGGATCCAACAAGACGAAGTCCTTCGCTTCTTCGGCGAGACTCGAATTTCATCGAGCAAGGTGCCATGGTATTCCCTAATCATCGCTGATGGTCGTGAGTGCCGTTCTTACTGTAAGAATATAAATCTTGCGTTTGGTGCTTTGTAAATTTTATTTTTAAACAAACTTAATATTAATATAGTCTGTAAAAGCTATTTGTGCCTTTGGCGAGATAGGTCCTAGCCTGCTTTATAAGCTTATTTTGCGATCAGGCTCTCAAGTACTCTACTTACCGGAACTCTGTTATTCTAATTACCGCCGGCAGTTGTCGAAAAACTAGCTTCGGCGCGAGTACGTTGAAAAGTGCCGGACGACGATAGAGTTTCTGTAATCTTATTCGACCGGAAAACGGAGGAACTTGGAAGTTTCTAAGCATTCCGAAAGTCATGGAAGGCTTTTACAGAAGCCCCATGTTTTTTCTTTAAAAAAATTGTGGAGACACGTCTCTGCGACATTTGGCAACAGTTGACAGACCATGATTCAAGCATTCTCTAAAGTGGCATTTAAAGAAGTTACAAGCTTCGACTGCTTTTCTCTTTTTGAAGCTCCATTTTTGACATGAAAACCTGCAGTTTTCTGGCTTAAAACAACCTCTCAGGTTACTGTTCAGTTTTTCAGTGTGAATGATCCTCAAGTGCAGACGGTAACGCGCTTGTGGTGAAAATAACAACACCGGACGGGTAATGATAGGCTCACTATTGCCCATATTCAGGATGATTTCAGAAAGTCAGAACGTCGTGACAAACGTCAGCTTGAGAAAACCTTCTTAGACGAAACATCTGACCGATTTCATTTTTCCTCGGTTTAATTCATATAATTTCAACTTATTATTTACTGCCTACTTTTTTTAATGATAGGGTATATTGCGAAATATAGCTTCAATGATGCTGAGATATTTGCAAAACTCCGCACTAAAGGTGTCTGCGGTGGGGAACGAAAGCGATATTGTCCTTTCCGGAGAGTAGCGCGTTCACCACCACACCATGGGAGCCCTTTGTTTCGCCTGTCTCTCAGCTAGTTCAGCTTAACTGGGTTCGTTACCGATTTGGGCTCCCTAGATGAATCCCGCAAACGGGTGATTAGTGATGGCAGAGATCGATAGAACTAGGCGAAACGAAAGACCCGCATGGTGCAGTGGTAAACGCGTTACTCTCCGGAAAGGACAAGACCGCGTTCGTTCCCCACCGCAGACACCTGCAGTCCGGAGTTTTGCAAATATCTCAGCACCATTAAAGTTAATTCATATACTTTCGAATATTCGATTTCTTTAGAATTTTAGGAGGGGAACATCGACATTAAAAATTGGTGAAAAAACAGAAAACTTTTAATATTCATTGTTTTCAGGGCCTTCGGAAGGCGGACATCAAAAACATCTTTGTGAGAAAAAACACTATGATATAAAAAGAAACTAAAAGGTCCCTCAATATACCAAGAAGAACCAGTTAGTATTGAAGCAAAAATAGGCTGCACTCACACTTTGATATGTTCATGTTCCTTTTCCTGAGTCGTACACTGTTTATTCATTTCCTAGCTGATTCTACCTTCAAGAACAAAAGACCAAGAAACGTGGAACTAAACGAGGATTACGTTCTTCGGGTCTCAATAAAGTGAGACTCTTCGATCTATTGAAGAAATTGTGTAGAAAAAAAAAAAAAAAAAAAAAAAAAAAAAAAAAAAAAAAAAACCCAAGCAGCTTTATAACCTTCTACAGAAATTTTGCTAACTTCCTTATTACTAGATTGTAGATCTTCAAAACTGGCAATGTCTTTTTTGTTTAGTTTTATCACTAGCAAGTTTAAGTTATTAGGTTTTTATTATTAGGTTATGGGCTATTACTACCTCCCAATGGTTTACCGCCTCATCATGGCTGGAAGGTGTTCCCGGGTGTCGGATTGCGATGTACAGCGAGGGAATTCGTCTCCCCGGCAGGGTCTCCCAAGCTGAGAAGGAGTCCGGCGTTTCCATCAAGAAGCTTAGCTAAGAGTAAACCAGGATCCACCACTGTCCTGGTATCAAAGTCGTATAGTGGCAAATCTCCCTCTGATCCACAAAGGCTGGGGCTGCCTGTAGTGGTGAAGACCTGGAGCAGACTTTGGCCAGGCTGACCTCGGGACTCCAGGGAACCACAATGGCTTGACCAGCAAATATCCGAAAAATGGAAATTATGCTGGAGCCCGCACAACTTGTGAGGATGGACCGTTCAAGTATCAAGTATCAAGTACCAGCAAGGTTTAATCTGCTTCTTGTAAAGCACATCTAGCTCACAAGCAGTACTTTGTATGGTAGTACCTTGAAATACAGACTCGGTCGTTGCTTCAATCCCACACCCCACGACCACGAAGACCACCTCACTCCAGGATCGGCAAAATTGTGGAAGACCTATCCTGGAGGGTGAAAACACTGGCTTGGCAAGTTCGTCGGCTCAAGCAAGTCCTTCTATTGGGCATGTAAGCATTCAACTAGATAAATTATTCTTCATTTAGTCCAGTACATGGCTCGTCCCTTACAGATTGATCAATGACAAACGCTGTAGACTTTTCCTTCACTGAAAGCCGAAACAAGGTCGGCCAAAAGCACTGGCGAATGTGGGTTGGAAATATTACGAAAGGAAATACGGCTAAGACATATGTTTATTTTATCCAATTCCTAGAGCGCCCAAGTCCTGTGCGCGACAAATTCTTCAAAACTATTTTCAGCATTGGTTTGGCTAGTTAAGATTTTCAAACTACCACTTGCCGACGTTTATAAGAAATTGTAAGCCAATTGGGGATATGTCCGCTTAGAACGCTAGATAATTATGGTTTCATAGTGCAGTTCAGTACAACGCAAGGTTTGTTGTCCTACACACGTGCGCGTACTGTAGGGCAAGTGGACTGTAACTTTTTATTGATCAATACTGGATGCACACACCTAAACTACCGGTCCATTTTATCAACTGGTTTTGCAACAGAACTCTGCAGTGATCCATTTTCCAGTATTCAGGATGTTGTACTGTACCTCAGTCACAATCTTTTGGCGCAGAACTTCGGAAGTCATGTAGAAGTCTCATTCAATATTCGTAACAAAGATTCCTTTGTTCTCTATTCCACATCCCACCCATTTATAAAGCATTTTCAGCTTTCCAGTGTCTTCAAAACAGCAACGGTCTACTTAGTTGGATACTTGGATGGCCCGTCTTCACTGGTTGTGGGTGACCAGCATAATTTGCACTTCGGAGTTTCGCTGTTTTGGCTATCGTGGTTCGCTGGAATCCTAAAGTCAGTCTAGCCAAAGTCTGCCCCAGCTCTTCGCCACCACAAGCGCTTGTTGATCATAGGGAGATTTGCTACCATGCGACTATTTCGGTACCACGACGATGATAGATCCTGGTATTGGTTTACTCCTAGCCGGCTTTCCTGATGAAAACGCCGAGCTCCTTCTCAGCTTGGGAGACTGCTGGGGAATGAACCCTATACTCACATCGCAACCCGACACCCAATAACGTCTCCCAGCCACGACGAGGCGGTAAACCGTTGGGAGGGACCGATTACTACTATTAACACTAGGTCAGCTTCGACTACACTCTTCAGATGGTCGTCGCCAACTAATGATAGGGGCACAAAATCAACAAGACTAAGACTCACACTCCTAGTACTAGGTTGGCTGGAAATAACTCTTAAACGATGTTTTTAAGACAAACTTTACACCAATACACAAAACTTTAAAAGTTATAACAAACTAACATCATTACTTTGGTAAAAACCTAATAGTCATCACAGACTGATCAAAGCAAGAAGCGGTCAGAACGAAGCGTTTCTATGATAAGGCCGAATGATGTCCACAATACAGATCAAAGAACAAAATAACGGAGGGACTAACAAGGAGATGACCGTAAAAAAGTGGTCTACAAAAGCGTGGCCAGTCAAGAATCTAGGGGCAAACAGGTGAAAATAACTCACTACTTTCATTAATGAACAAAGCGTTTCAATACATATGACTACAAAGATAAGAAAAAGATTACCTCGTGTCGGCTCAATAGTCCAAGGAGGCATTGATTATTTCTTCCGAGGTTAAATCAAATCGGATTTTAAAGGGAAAAGAATACTTTGGATAGATAATCTAAGGACTTTAGAAAACAGCTTGCTTTAGGCGAACATAAAAAAATTTAAGCCGAGACGAATAATACATCGAATCTTTTCAGAATAACACAAATATAAGGAATTTGCCGAAACAATCATAAGGCTCTCAATCATCTCGTTATTTATGAGAGATAGCAAGTTCGATGTTTGATAAGAAAATACCAAATCTAAAATCAAAAATGAAAAACATCATCATTAAAATAATCAATAAAGCCTAAGCCAATAATTCTAAAGGGGGACAGCAGCTAAGCGATGACCAAACTGGATTATTTTAAGTGTTCTACCACTGGAACGTAACTACGGTATCTTGAAATGTTGGTTATTTAATTGATACCGTAGATTTAGATTACCTTTTTCAACATCTCGTACATTGTGGTCCTAAGAGGTGTTGACTGAGTGGTAACTTAAACAGCCCTACAAATCAGTTCAGCGTTTGAACACTTCCTTGCCCTTGAAAAGCTGTAGTGAACGAAGAAAAAGAATCATGTCGAGATTCTTCAGACGAATCCTAAAAATACACATAATACCAAACAATCTAAAAAGTAAAGCACGTCTCCGACCAAAGGAAGTTTGATAAACAGTGGAAAAAAGTTGACTGTTACCTCGTTCTTCTCAAAACTTCCTGGCTGAAACGCCGTGTCGTTGCTATCCCCACTTGCACCTCTGCAATGCAAGGGTTCCTCCGCAGTCACATAGACAATAAAGAAAAATTTTGATTAAATCTGCAAAAACTAACGTGTTGCACTGAGAACATGGTCCATTGGCAGATCCCCGTCCTGCAGCAAGTTCTGACAACAGAGCTTTCCGTACCAGATACTTTTCCCTCTGTTGTTGGATGAATATTTTTGTGGGAACGTCAGGAATGAGATATTCCACGATCATTTTAATGACGAACACTATGTGCTGAAACATAATAAAATAAGGGTAAATAAGTAAATAAAGAAAATCTAAAAACAACACGTGACCGAAAATCGTTGGTGTTTTCCTTCTTCATAAACTTTATGAAAACTTCATAACTGAAAACCATATCGATCTATATAGCGAGGAAGTTACTGCTTATCTAATCACCAGCGTTTCCATAAAGAAACTTAGAAAGTGGAAAACCCGCATGTTCTAAAATCATCGTGACGACAAGTATCCAAGGACACCTGTAGTCCTTCAACTTTACAAGCACTAACCCTTCAGTTCATTGTAGATTTCAACAACTGAAGAAATATTATTATGATAATCAGCAAAGTAGTAGTAATATGACAACCTTTTATAGTCTTTTCGCTCTTTTTCATCAAAATTCCGGAGCTAAAAGTAGATTGAGGAGGCAGGATTTCGTTTAGTAGGCCGTAATAGTTTTCTCGAATGCACTTCTGATGTTCACAACGTTTGTATTAAAAATTTTTAAAAAATGGTTTTTTTTTGTCGAATCTTGGAAGTTGGACAAAGGCGATGTTTGAAAACTACTCTATCTCAGTGGCCAGAGAAACGCAGTAGTATAGACTCCGTTCAATAGGAGCAAGACCTTGGTTAAACCTCGCTCCGAAATCATTTTGCTTCTATACTTGCTGAGTCGAGAAATTGGTACCGAATTTGTCTGCGAAACACTCTCCAATCCACAAATCCTGTTGACATCCTGTGGTGAAGAAATAGGAATGCTCAAGCACGTCTATTCCGGGACTCAACTGGAATCTATTTGACCAGAGTCTGAAGACATTCATAAAGAATATAAAAAATCCCCAAGTAGCGAAATCCACAAGCAAATCCCAATACGTTCGCGGATGATAGATGCAATGAAACTAACCGTATGGAAGTACTGCGATCAACACAATGTGTGATGTTGGACAGTGTCATAGGAAAAATAGGTACACTCCTATAGTGATAATGCAGAAATACTAATGACAGTGAAATACAACCACAACGATGCTGAGATGTTTGCAACACGTGGACCTCAGGCAAAGTCGGACCACGATTATCTTTTCCGGGGGCTCATGTGTTACTCACTGCACCACTGGGGCCTTAGTTTTGCCTCTCACTGAGCCAATTTTAACCTAAAGGTCCCATCAGCAATCACCCTTTAACGGGCCGTAGACAGAACTTAAACACTGTGATTTCGAATACAACCTCAGCTTAACTGGATTTATGCCGATTTGTTCTCCCCTGATCATTCCCATTGACGAGTGATTGCTGATGGCACCGTCAAGGTAAAAAGAGTGGCTGTGAGAAAGGCAGTACGTGGGCCTCGGTGGTGCCGTACGTAACACGTGAGCACCCGAAAAGGGTAATAGCGGCTCGATATAGCATGTAGTCCAAGTTTTGCAAACATCTCAGCATCATTATGGTTATATTTTTCATAGTATCCTAGTGTGAAAAAAATAATGGGCAGTAGATAAAAGTTTCACTAATAACAGTCTTCTAAGCCCTCATATTCCCAAGGACACTAGTTGAACAAAAACTGACAGTTATCGGAAAACCAGCATTGTGGCGAATATGCTAGCTAGGTAAATCTATAGTTAACCGGTTTAGCTGGAAGACTCTTTATTGGTATGGCACAGGAGGCATAACCCATTTGCTATCAAATAAATTTCTTCCGACAGACTAACTTCGAAAATGAGAACGAACAATAGTCGAGCAGCAAACACCTTCCACCATTCCGAAGAAAGTCCTAATTGATCGTCACAACTTTCTTTCCCGTAAATTGTAGTGGTTTCAGACATCAGTGAGCATGGTGAACGTCGCCATCCACGATATCTGCACTGATCTTTGATTATTAACCAATGCTATGTTATAGTGTTCCTATTCAAATCCGACGACAAACCTGCACTGACTAACATTACGAAATTGCGATGTCTTTAGTTTAAAAGCGCTTGCATCGAAGTAAGAAAGAGATGAGTCCACATATCCTATCATCGTTTGTTTAGTTAGGTAATACATAGTCTTCGGGACAAAATCCGATGTGAAGGCTATTACCAAAGCCTGAAAGTAATCAAAGAGTAACAAATGGCCTTAGACTTAAACGGTACTTGCTGTGGGTCAGAACTAAACAGTTCAAAACCTTAACAAACTCACATTAATAATTACACTGAATTTGCTGATGACGTCCAAAATGCTTAACCATACACCGATATTCTTTGCCTGTTTAATTACGACATTGGGGAAAAAAGCACATAGAGGAACTTAATGTCCACAACACACACCTGTGCGGGAACAGGTTTCTGGGTTGTGATAAGAAACTTATAGGCATCTAATCTTATTTCAAAAATATTGTTAATAACAGCGAAGAGTGGAGCTAGTGGAAAAGCCGAAACAAATAAAGTAACGAAACCGAACTGCAGGACTGAAAAAAGAATAGTAATGATGAAGGAATAAAAAAGAACTAAAGAGAAAATAGTGGAAACGTACCCATCTCTAAATACTCATAGAACAAAAACTGATCGTAAGTTGGGTAAAGATAATAGTCGGCCTCCCACCTGGTCAAGTTCTTCACTTTCTAAAAGAGACGAATGCAAAATTAAACAGAATAGTAGGTGCTAAGCCTCACAATTGGAAATTAGAAATCTGGACATGAACCTCAACATGTTCTTTGAGAAAAAGAAAAATACGGTAACCTTGCTGTGCTCCTCTCTGATTCGATTTTTACGCTGCTTCTTAGTCTCTACAAGCGGTACCATTAGCTGCCATTTTCTCATCAAACTCATGAAATTCCTGGAAAAATAAGGAGAAAGTGGGAACAGAAATTGGAATACTAAAAGCGAGAACGTACGGGTAAGCAAATTCAACGAAGGCAGAAAAGAACTGCTTCCCACACATGATAGTCGCTAGTTGAACCACTAACTCCACAAAACAACCAGCAGGATCGCAACCCTGGGATGACCGAAGCTATTCTATGCTACTTCAGACAATTTGCATCACAAGCACACCTCCAATCGGTAACCGGCGATTTTAACGTTTCCGTCATTATCTTTCGTTCCTGGGATCTGGGAAAGGCTAGAAGACGAAAAACGTACTAATTACGGTATTAATGAACAGAAAAAAGCGAAATTATTCAAAAACATTGAAAACTCACATGCCTTTGAAAAACGCAATGTAAAACAAGGAAGAGTAGTAGTTAGCAAATTGGAAAAGAAACACTTTAGCAGTGTAGCTGTTGTCGAAATCTGCTTGAGTTCTCGGACACTCCCAACGAGTCAGGCGATGTGCAAGAGAGTTGTAGAACTTAAACGACGTTTAAGCCCGTACGTTACCGCAACACACATAGATGTTCACTCACATAGTTCATGGCGATGATAACAACGAGATTGATGGCAGCAGCTGTTATAGAGACAATGAGGAATGCAAATGAATCAATCGCTGGATTATCCATCTGAAAATTAGAGAGTCAATCTCAAACGAATAGTCTGAGGTAAAATGAGGAAGGTCTTCTCACACTCGCCAAAAGACGCATACAGATCACACGATATACAACCATACCAAATACAACGGCTAGCACCAAACATATCTAAACGAGGTAAGTAGAGAATGGTCGTTCTTTGTTTGTAAATAAAGCAGAAAGGCCGACACTCACGAAAAATAACACTGTGGCCGCAGCGGCAGTGAAGTTTGCTAACTTCTTCTTTCCGGATAGGTATGGCTCTTCTTGCTGTGTGACCGGATTGTATCGCTTTGTCTTCACACGAAATTGGAACTCCGGCAGCACAGTATCCTAAAATCACATCTGCTCAGAATTCTGTTTGAAAGTGAGCTTCATGCAGAAGTGGCGGTGGTATATTTGAGTTAGAGGAGACCTTTGTCTTGTAAAAAACATTTAAAAGCATCTGCGAAGGTAAAATCCCTCACTTCTTCTATAACAATGTCAAGGAGTCCCCATTTCCAGGCGATTTCAGTGTGATACCTCTTCCACCCTTCAAGAAACAATGTCGCCCACACACTCATCAAGGCAGTAAAAACTACTGTACTCCCATTGTCAAACAAATATGACATCTAAACAGAGAAAATTCGCACTCTTATACAGCTTCAGGAACAATATCGAATGTCAAGGAGACCTTGGCGTAAACACAGCTATTTCCGAGAAGCTGGAAATCACAGTAGTTCTCACACTGAGGGCAAATAAGGATCTTCGTTCCAACTCCGTCATCCCCACAGATGTCATTACTGGAAAACTAAAGGCAGTTCACATCCTCATGCAAGAGATGTGAATCTAGCCAGCATTTTTCATAGTGGTATAATCAAGTCATTAGCAAAAAGAATAACAATATAATCCTAATCTTACGAAAATAGAATCCTTCTTCTTAAAGCAGCTTCCTACGGTCTCAAACTTTAGCAATCTCCCGAAAGTTTAAAATTAACCTGACTATATCCTCTGAGATATTTGAAAACCCATAAATCACCGATATTACACCAACTATAGCAGCTAGGTACAATGTTCTCGTGTAGTATCCAAGCCAGGCGAAGTAAAACGCAACTTTAGTGCCAAAATAGCGCCTGAAAACAATGAAGTCTGCATTTTAGGCCCGAAATTAAAACTTATGAAAAAATTGACACTAAGGAAACCAATAAGCATACTTAATGCAGTCAAGAGGCTGATACTTGAATATATTTCTCCATGAAGCCCAGTGGTTGTACAACAGTTCTCGCTGAGAGAGTTCTTTTCCTCTAAGAAATTCGCAGTGCTGTCTTATTTCCTAAATATTATCAAATTAATCAAAAATCATCACTAGAAAGCTTTGACGCGCGCTTAGATAACACTTTGCAACCATCATAAATTTTAGCTGCGAGGATCCCGGCCTAGTTAAGAGCTTTTCACGTCCAACAACTCTTACGTTCAAAACTTATTTGAATACACTAAGATGTTTTCAAAATAAGAATTAAACAAAAGTAAATTCGAAATGTTCTTTTATCAGCACTAGCAGATTGTAGAAACGGTGGGGTCACGGAATAAAAACATACATACGCCTAGTTTGGAACGAGAACCACCTCAACAAGCAGAATCTATATTGATGAAGCTCAAAGTCATCTGGAGAGCTCAAAGAAATTTGCACGTACTTTGCTTCAAGAAACAGCGTTAAATGTGATCAACTACATAAAGGATAAATGGATAAAGCTGTTGGCGTTGACCAATTCCTGAGGGATTCAACATGTATTTGACTTCATTAAGCATCGTTGGAGGCGATTGAATGCATATCTGACCTTTACAATGACTCACAGTGGCCCACCGATGTATTAAACCAGTGCTGCTATCCTCTCAGAAAAGTCTGGAACCAATTTGCCGACCCCGAAGGGAAGGCTTGGTGGGCCATGGGCGCGGGGATCGATTCCACGTGTGTGTCCTATATATGTGCTGCAGAGCGCCTCCAACCACCGCGCCACATGTGTCCATGAACTACATACAAGCACTAATCTCAAAAAAACATGAAATGAAAGAGGAGTGGATACCTGATGAAGTGGGTAAGCCGCACTGTATGCACGTTGACTCAATAGACGCTCAATACCGAATCTGTACTGAGTTGTGCCCTTGCTTCTGTCGGAAATGACATCATCATAGTGTGCACGAGTGAGCAGATCGTAAACCATCCTGGATCTCTCGGAATTGGGAAACAGGATATCAGGCCTATCCCAATTGACGAATCTGAATATTAAATTAGAAAATACGTGCTAACACGTGCAAAGCTTCATATATTGACAAAATGTAGTATCTGCTGCTCTAAAAAATCAGGAAGGACACCTTCTAAGAACTTACTGCTTACGTCGGTCACTGGAATAAGGTGCAGTAAAGAAATCTGGCTCTTCTAGTGCTTTACGTGTGCGTTCATTGAAATCAAATATACCAACACGAGAAAGAATACTATCCAGAAAACCAGGAAGTGATGTTCTATTCTGGAAGGTCACAGTGTTGTTTATTGAGGGATAAAACTAGAAAAAAGGTTTAAGAAGACAGAATCAGACGATGTCGAAAAAAGACTAGTAGAGAAATCAGAGAATGTGTGCTGTTACTAAAGATTACTGGAATAAACATGCATCAAAATGGGAATGTACCTGAAAGTCGACATCGCTTTGTTGAACCGGAAGCTTAACTGAAAGAATTTGTGCTTGCTTTTCAAGAACTGAAAATGGTGCATGAAGAAGAACAAATCGTGTCCGACCGAGCTGAAAACGATTTATACACTCTTTAGGACCAAAAATGAAAAAACAAAGAAACGAAGCTAACCATAGTCGTTCATAACACTAACAAAACCAAGGATAGCAAAAAATTTCATGATAACACTTTCCCAGAATAAGAACTGGACACACGAACCATCGGTGAAATATTGGCTCTTTCGATCTGCAAACCCATCTTCTCGAGATTCGTCTCGAAGTTGAAACGCCTAATTCGTTTTTTTTCTGCTGCACTTGCTGGACTTTGTTGACTTCCCTGAACTGTTCGGTAAAACTGACGCGATCAAAAATCCCCTAAAAAATTGGAGTTCGTAGTGACATTCCCATGACTGCAGATAGTTTTCCATCAATTACAGTTCTTCAGTGGCTCAGAACTTGATACGCTTATAGAGAAGATTCCTCCCAACAGTTTACCGCCTCATCGTGGCTGGAAGGTGTTCCCGGGTGTCGGACTGCGATGTACAGCGGAGAGATTCGTCCCCCAGAAGAGTCTCCCAAGCTGAGAAGGAGTCCGGCGTTTCAGTCAGGAAACCTAGCTAAGCGTAAACCAATACCAGGACCCACCACTGTCCTGGTATCAAAGTCGCATTGTGGCAAATCTCCCTCTGATCCACAAGGGCTGCGACTACCTATCGTGGTGACGACTTGGAGCAGATTTTGGCCAGGTTGTCCTCGGGATTCCAGGTAACTACAATGGTCTGACCAACAAGTCTCCGAGAAATGGTGATTGTGCTGGGGTCCGCACAACTAGTGAGGACGGACCGTTCCACAATGTTGTTCAATTTTCAAAGTCGTTTGAGATCAAAACTTCCCTTCAAATAAAAACTAAAAACTAACCCTAATGATGCTGAGATATTTACAGAACTCCGGACTGTTGGTGCCTGCGGTGGGAACTGAACACGCTCGCTATTACGCCATCCGGGGGCTAACGTGCTCACCACCACACCATGCAAGTCCTTCGTCTCGCCTTTCTCTCAGGCGTGTTATTGACCTATAGGTGCTATCAGCAATCGCTGTCAACGGGATTGATCTAGGGAGCGCCTTGCCATTAAAAAGAGTGGGTGGTAAATGAAAAGTGACGACTAAAAACTAAGTTTAAATCCTCAAAGCTCCTAGCCCAAGCGCGACAGTAGCAAAAGTCAACGACGAACTCAGGAAAACAATCGCTTTCGAGTGAAATAACTGCTCGTTCAATAGGTTTCGTGTTTGATATGTTTCGAAGAAAAAATAAGTGATAAAGCACGATTTCTGGGCTTCATATGACATTAATATCAATGTGATAGTATAAGAAGATGTGCATCATTGGCTAAGATCTCCACATTCCTATTGCTTTCATTGTAATTGGTAACGCCTTATCGAGATTAGATATGCACCTTGTCAGCAAAACATTTATAATGAGTCTCATTTTGATCAATAAAGTTGAATCCATACAGAGCTACATCATCTAAACATTGTTATTCAAAATCCAGCAGTGCTTAAGATTCACGAAAACAAATCGGTCAAGAGCATCTTATCAGATGTGCTAAACCCACCTCATCATCCTCATCTTGGTCACAATCGGTGAGCGAAGCACTGTCATTGATGACGTCGATCTGGAAATCATCTTCATAAGCCAGAACGTAGTCAATCTGAAACAATGAAATCATCCATATTCAGTCACAGTAGGCAAAATCATGATAGCCACCTACTTGACGCTTCCCGTCCGAAAAATAGCAGTGGTTATCCCACTCTAACGCGAAAAAATCCTTTAATTCCTGGATTTGACTCTGCAAAAAGTTGCAATACAGATAGGCGAAAATCAGCATTAAAAATGAACTAATGAGTAACGAAAAACACCCCGGTTTTTCCTGTTTTCGTAACAGAGTGAGAAAAATCTACAAACCGTAAAGTGTCCTCGACTGGAAAATGGAAACAAACCCACATCATACTTCTTTTCCTCTATTTCTTGAAGAGTGGTGTCCACTTTGTCAAGCGTTGTTCCCGCGCATCCACTCATTTCTACCAACTTCGACACCTCTACGTCGTCCTCAGATCTGACTTTAAAAAAAGGTTCATTAGAAAGGCACATAACTACACACCAAGCAGGAAAATAGCCAAACAACATCAACTTAGTAGTGGAGCTCATTTATTATTTTAAGATAAATCTATGGGAGTACCTATTGCCCATAAGGACCTCCGCAGAATTCAGTAAAAGCTATTGTGCCACTACGATTTTTCCAAAACACTGGAACAACTAATTTGCATCAGTTCGTATAATAACCAACACTACAACACCAAAAGGTTGTCGTACTCATGTGGTCTGCTGTCTTAACTGATCCAGGATCGTTCCCATGCTTCAAACGCAAGAATGATGTATAGAGGCTATCTGTGAAATTAAATACGATAGCAACATTGTAAACGTTTCATTTTTGAAAACCGAATTTCACTTAACTCCAGTAAAAAACAACTAGCACCTTTTTTCATTGATGAATTAATACTTTAAGCTATCAACCACTATCAAGGTCAACCACATGCGACTATAATCAGCTGTTCCAAACTTCCTCATTGGAAGTCACGAAAAAGCGGCTCTGAAGAAGGCGATACTGCCGAAACGTCAGCTAGCGTTGTATTGTATTGTTTTTATGGAAGTAAATGTATGCTGTTTAAAAACCTCGCGATTGCTGAACAAGAAAACGACACATTTATATTCCAAGGCCGAGGTTAAGAGAAAGTCGATCCTGGGAACTTTAAGCTATTTTCGAGCGGTGCTCCAATAAATTCCACTCGATCCGACTATGAAGACCTACATGACAAGAATGAATGACTGTGGTCAATCGAATGAAATCAATCTGACCCTGAAGAAAACGAAGGCGCCGAAGGGCCACCGAACCTCAAAACTTCTAGTTAGCTCATCAATGAAGAAAGACATTGTTAACGCCTCACTTTGTAGCTTCGACAATACTAAGTAGCAAGTAGTTAGGGTATGCTTGAAGGATGATAGCCAAACATATACTATACTGGCAAGCATAAAAATTCAAAACTCGAAATTTGTACGACCCAAGAGTTTTTGAAAGACCTGAGTTTTGATACAAAAACGGTACTATGAATGATGAACACATTGTTGTAAAAACATGATGCCAGGGTAGAGGTGAGGCTTGTAGAGGAGCAGTATGTTTCGCTAAGAAAGCAAGACCTTTTAAAGATGAATCACGATACAATAGTAATGAAGACTGACACAACGATGTTTAAAAAAAGGATCGCAAGAAATACAATGGTCGATTCGTCATTGCATCATCATCCGTTGAAGACATTTCGTCATGACATTAAAAACTAAAGGGCGAAAGAAAATGTGCATATCTGTCGACCTGTGCTGTTTTGTTGAATTACACTCATCGAAAAGCTAATTTGTCACTCCCAAAGGCATCCACTAATCCATATGACCTGAACCATCGACAAGGAATGTCCTTGACCGATAGGTTTGCGTTGAAGGTATCGCGGTTGTAAAGGCCATCCGTTACAATGTGGAAAATATTTCTATCTTGCCGAAAAATTTGTACTATTGGAATCACTGAATATCTTTACTACGAGCTGATTCATTCACATCCTTCAGAGATTGTCTGGTAATTTGTGCAGTGATTTTCTAAACACAATGTAAAAGATAAAGGATAAAGGAAAAGTTCTCGGCGTTGATCGATCCCTGAGGCTCCACCATGCACTCGACTTCATTAATCACCGTTGGAGGTGATTAAATGCATATCTGGCCTCTACAATATCTCGCGGTGGCCTATCGATGCATCGGGCCAGTGCTGCTATCCTCCCAGACAAGTCCATTGCGAATTTTCCGACCCCAGAAGGATGAAAGACTTGGTGAGACTGGGGCGCGGGGATTGGTCACATGTGTATTGAAAGGCGCCTC